TCTGCGATTTTCAAATCTACCACCATAATGTACTTGATTTAAATTATATTCTGGTCGTGGATTTGAACATCGCAGAGGGTCTCAGTTTTTTTTTGTTTTTCCCCTGGTATTTTCCCTGGGCCTCTGGCCCTGGGTAGGCCCAGGAGAATACCAGGGCAAACAAGCAAAACACGCAAACAACCCAAGGAACAAGCAAAACAAGGCAAACCACGCTGAGAGTCTCTGCGTTTTTCAAATCCACCACCAGAATGTACTTGAGTTTAATTGTATTCTGGTCGTGGATTTGACAATCGCAGAGGGTATCAGCTTTGTTTGCTTTTTTGTTTTTTCCCTTGCCTTGTTTGCCTTTTTGGGCTTTTCCCGTGGTATTTTCCCTGGGCCTCTGGCCCTGGGTCGGCCGAAGAGGATATCAGGGAAACAAGCAAAAAAAGAAGAAGAAGCAAACACAACAAGGAAACACCAAACACAACAACAAAAAACTGAGACTCTCTGTGTTTTTCAAATCTACCACCAGCATGTAATTGATTTTAATTATATTCTGGTCGTGGATTTGAAAATCGCAGATATTCTTAGTTTTTTTGTGTTGCTTCCTTTTTTTTTTTTTTTGCCTTTTTTGTTTTTTTTCCCCTGGTATTTTCCCTGGGCCTCTGGCCCTGGGTAGGCCGAGGAGGATACCAGGGACAAAAAACAAAACAAGCAAAACAAACAAGGAAAAAGCAACAACAATAGAAAATAGCTGAGACTCTCTATGTTTTTCAAATCTACCACCAGCATGTAATTGATTTTAATTGTATTCTGGTCGTGGATTTGAAAATCGCAGATCTTATTAGTTTGTTTTTTTCCCCCTTCTTTTGCTTTTTCCATTTTTTTTTGTTGTTGTTTTGCCTTTTTTGGTTGTTCCCCTGGTATTTTCCCTGGGCCTCTGGCCCTGGGTAGGCCCAGGAGGATACCAGGGAAAAAAGCAAAAAGACCAAGGAAAAAGCAAAAAAACAACAAAAAAACTGAGACTCTCTGCGTTTTTCAAATCTATCACCAGCATGTAATTGATTTGAATTGTATTCTGGTCGTGGATTTGAAAATCGCAGAGAGTCTGAGCTTTTTGTTGCTTGTTTTGCTTTTTCCATGTTTTTCTATTTGTCTTTTTTCAGTGGTATCCTCCTGGGCCTCTGGCCTTGGGTTTCAAATGGAATTCCTTCTGGGAGGATTACAAATGTATTCGAATTGTAATCCGCCAGAAGATCCAATTTGTGGGGATTCAAAAAAGAAAAAAGAGGAAGAAAGAGAGAGAGAGAGAAAAACAAAAAGAAAGAGGGAGAGAGAGAAACGGAAAACAGAAAAAAAGAGACGGAGACAGAGAAAGAAACGCAAACAAGCAAGAACGCCCCCAAGTCAAATAGGGCGAATTTTCTCCCTTTCCCCTCCCCCCCCTCATCCCTCCGTCTTCCGCCTCCTCTGGCCTCCCCCCTCCCTCCTCCTCCTGTCCCCCCCCCCATGATCGTCGACCCTCGGGAAATCCTCCTCCCGTCCCCTCCGGAGGGAGGCCTCGCCTCCTCCCTCGGGGCGTTTCGGCGCCCGCGGAAGAGCCCGCAGAGGGCCGGCGCAGGCCGAGTGCGCGGCGCGTGCGCCAGGCGGCACACGGCGGCGGGCCTGTCGCCGACAGGGAGGAGTTGTCCACGAGGGACAGGAATGGAGGAGGAGGAGGAGGAGGAGGAGGAGGAGGAGGAGGAGGAGGAGGAGGAGGAGGAGCGGAGGCGGAGGAGGGAGGAGGGAGGGAGGAGGAGAGAGGAGGAGGAGGAGGAGGAGGAGGCAGGCGGCGGCGGAGGAGGAAGAGGAGGAGGATGATGAGGTTGAGGAGGAGGGGGAGGAGGCGGAGGAGGAGGAGGGAGAGGAGGAGGAGGAGGAGCAGGAGCAGGAGCAGGAGGAGGAGGAGGAGGAGGAGGAGGCGGAGGAGGAGGAGGAGGAGGAGGAGGAGGAGGAGGAGAAGGGTGGGGAGGCGGCAACGTTTTCGGCTCTAGAGGTTCCAGAACCAGCTGCACGGAGGTGAGGCGGCGGAGGCCAGGAATGCCCGTGGGCGGTGGCGGACGGGTGGACTCCTGCTCTTGCTGCTGCTGCTGCTGCTGCTGCTCCTCTTCTTCTCTCGTGCCTCCCCCTGCCCCTTCTCTTTCTCCTCCCCCTCCTGCTTCTACTGCTCCTCGTCTTTCTCCTCCTCGTCATCTTTCTCCTCCTCCTCCTCCTCCTCCTCTTTCCTCTCCTCCTGCTCCTTCTACCCCTCCTCCTCCTCCGGCGCCAGGCCGTAGAAAGGCCTGGGCCATTTCCTATTGTGTAAAGATAAAGCGGGGAAGAGAGAGAGAGAGAGAACAGATATCAGAAGCCTGTGTATGTATATATATATATATACATATGCATACGTGCATGCGAATTTGCCACTGGGGCCCTGGGTGGAGCCCCCCTATGAAGCCACGCAACGTGAGAGGGGTCTGCCCAAATGGGGCGGGTACCCATGTGAGCCCTGCCACTGGGGCCCTCGTTGGAGCTCCTTATGGGGCCACGACACGTGTGAGGGGTCAACCGAAATGTGGCGGGTACCCATGGGTACCCATGTCTGCCACTGGGATCCTCGGTGGAGCTCCCTAAGGGGCCACGAAACGTGTGAGGGGTCTGCCGAAATGGGGCGGGTACCCATGTGAACCATGCCTTTGGGGCCATCGTTGGAGCCCTGGAGCCCCCTATGGGGCCACGGAGCGTGTGAGGGGTCTGCCGAAATGCGAAAAGACAACGGAAGAGGTGGATGATGCCTCCTGCACTTCTACAGCTGTCGCTGGGGCCTTCGGTGGAGCTCCCTAGGGGGATACAAAACGTGTGAGGGGTGTGACGAGCATGTGATGACAATGATGAGGGTGTTGATTGATATCAAGATGATGGTGCTGACGATGATAATGATAATGATGATGATGCTGATGATGATGATGCTGCTGCTGATGATGATGATGCTGATGCTGATGCTGATGATGATGATGCTGATGCTGATGCTGATGCTGCTGATGCTGATGATGATGATGATGATGATGATGATGATGAGGATGATGATGATGATGATGCTGATGATGATGATGATGATAATGATGATGAGGAGGAGGATGATGAGGATGATGAGGATGATGAGGATGATGAGGATGATGAGGATGATGATGATGATGATGAGGAGGAGGAGGAGGAGGGGGGAGGAAGAGGAGGGAGGAGGAGGAGGAGGAGGAGAAGGAGAAGGAACAGGAGGAAACGACGCGCAGCGCTGAGAATTTAAAAAGAGAACCCAAGTCCACAGGAGGGTTGGGAAACAGAGAGGGAAGAGAGAGAGAGAGAGAGAGAGAGAGCGTGTGCCATGGTTTTGCTTAAAGATCCTTAGTACAGAACCTTCCCTAGAATATAGTTTTTTTTTGTTGAAACCCGAGTGAGGATTCCTTATCGACAAAGAGTGGAACATCTTCACTGTAGACGCCTGAACCGAGAATTCTTTAGAGGGGCTCCCGTAGTAAAGTGTCATCGCTGCATAGTCCTTCATCCAATATTCTCACCGAAGACAGTGTTGAAGTAGGGCCCTTGCTAGGGCATCCTGATTGGAGGATATGTGCCATGTAACCCTGAGTCTTACCTGGAATCCTGACTAAGAACCATTGCTTAGGAACCCGTACGAAGGATTTCTAAGGAGTCCTTATGAAGGAATGCGTATGGAGGAATCATTGTTAAGGAATCCTTAGCGGGAGATCCATACTATGTAATCCTTATCCAGGGAGCCTTACAGGATATCCTTTTGTACAGAGCCTTCCGAAGGAGGTCTTAGTGAGGAATCCTTGGTGAGCTATCCTTCATGAAGCATCCTGAATCAAGGAGTGCTCACTCTATAACCCGTGAACAAGAACCCTGTTACTGACGAGGTCTTCTGAAAGGATCTGTGCCGAGGAAAGTTCCAGAGAAACCCGTACTACGGCACCCTTTCCAAGGAATCCTTATTGCTTGAGCGCCACCAGGCTAAATAACACCCCCCATCCGCAAACGGATGCCGCATGAGTGGGGTTGGACCATCAATCATCATAACACAACCTGTTTTTTTTGTTTCTCAGGTCTGAGGGCCAGCAAACATCGTAACAACAATTTGTTTTCAGGTATTTCAGGTGTTCGTGTGGATCTATCTGTCTGAGCGCATCGATCCGCAAAGACCGACAGCTACTGAAATGCATGTTTTTGTTACAGTGTTAGCGAGTTTTCTGATATGAGTTCTCTGATCTGAAGCACGTGTCTTTCACAGTGTTTGTTGACCTTTTGGCTTGACACTAGGCGCCACGACCTTGTGGCTAACACGCCGTAACCAATCCTTCACAAGATCCCTCCTCCTCCTCCTCCTCCTCCTCCACCGCACTCACCGGGGAGAGGAGGACGAGGAGGCAGAGGAGGCGGAGGAGGAGGAGGAGGAGGGGCAGGAGGATGAGGAGGAGGGTTTTCGAGCGTCTCGGGGGTCAGCTTGCTGCTGCTGTTGCGACCGTGGGCGCCTTCGGTCCTTGCGCCTCTACTGTTTGAGGCAGAAAAGGACGCAGAGGAGAAGCGGGAGGAGAGGATCTGTGGATCCCTGCCGAACCCCCAATGAAGGAGGCAGGAAGGCGATCCAGAAACTCACCCAAGGTAAGCTTCCGCCAGGTCTCAAGGCCTGGCCAGACGGGCCCACATGAGGCTCGTCATCGGGTGCCCCCACGCGGAGGGGACGAACCAGCTGCCGAGGCGGGGTGCGCGCTGACGTCGGGTGTGAGGGGGTGAGGATGGGTAGGGGGAGGAGTAAGGGGAGGAGTAGGGATCACGAGGGAGGAGGAGGGGGGAGGAGTGGGGAGAGGCGGAGGGGGAGGAGAATGAGGAGGAAGAGGAGGAGGGCGAGGAAGGGTGCTGACGACGGGGAGGACGACCCTGCCCCCCCTGCCCCGCCTCTTACTCCTTCTCCGGCCGCCCCTGGCCAGGCTGGCACCGACATTTTCCGCCTGAACTGCTCACACCGCCGCGGCGGCGACTTCGAGAGGGTTTACCCCCTCATCCGCAAGTATTCCAGGAGCTTTGGTGACAGCATCGTTCAGCTGAGTGCAGCTTCGGTTCTTCAGTCTCCTGCGTTTTTTGGCCTTGGGATGCTTCCCGGCAGGTGCGCCCCGCCGAGGGCGTTCCAGGGATGCCCGAATCGTCCCGCTCGGTCGGTGGATGTCGGAATTATGAATTGAGAGCCATCATGCGGCGCATGGCTCGTGCTTTCGGTCGGACACAAAAAGGGGGGGGAGGGGCGGAACACAACGCTTGTTCGCTTGGCTTCGGCCCTTCGTGTTCTGTTTCGTTGCGGTTTCCGTTGTGTAGTTCTGTCTCAAACGTGCGGCTTCGTTGTTTGTTCCCAACCCTCCTTGGTTGGGTATTCGTTTTGAATAGAGCAGTGTGGTCGCGTCCTTCCTCCTCCCGCCTCCCGCCTCTTTCCTGCCTCTTTCTGTCTTGCCTGCGGGGGGCTGTGAAACTGTCGCCAGTTTCGAGGCCTGCTGGGGGGTCCAGCATAGAGGGTAATCGCGGCAGATCCAAATTAGACCTCGCCATTCCTGGGGGGCTGCGATCTGTGAAACTGTCGCCACTTTCGAGGCCTGCTGGGGGGTCCAGCATAGAGGGTAATCGCGGCAGATCCAAATTAGACCTCGCCCTCCCTGGGGGGCTGCGATCTGTGAAACTGTCGCCACTTTCGAGGCCTGCTGGGGGGCCCAGCACAGTGAGGGCCACGCGCGGATTCAAATTAGACCTCGCCATCCCTGGGGGGCTGCGATCT